GATCATTTCATGTCCCTCTTTATGAGATTTTGGACCAAGTATGATACATTTCGGATTTGGACGTCCCCAAGCTGAATCCCTTTAGCTCCAATTGTGTCTTGGCCCAGAGAGTCATAAAGTATCAGCCTTGAGAGTGTAGGTGATGTATGGTTGTCTTAAACCCTAGTTTGTGGTGTGTTTAGCCTAGATCTCCTTAGCTATACGTAAAGTTCGCAACTTTACGTGAGGAATAGGCCTTGGAAGAATGGATCTGTAGCTTGGAGTCCCTGCATGACTCAAAAAGCTTCTGAATGTATGAAAGACTGAATAAACTCGACGAGTGCTTCGAGTGGACTCGGCGAGTAGCATGAAGATTAGGAGGAACTTGACGAGTTAAATGAGCAACTCGACGAGTCTGTTGAAATTTGCCTTGGACTCGGCGAGTCAGGTCGGGAAACCCCGAACCCTTCGAGGTAAGACTCGAATCAGTGAGTCGGGTGGAGACTCAGTGAGTTGGACACGACAGGACTCGGAAATCGGTGGACTCGGCGAGTCATGGTCTGACTCAGCGAGTCGAGTCGTGAATGGAAGAACTCTGAGCGTGTGAACTCGGCGAGTCAGTAGGCATACTCGGTAAGTAGGGTTGACCTGGAAGGTTGACCTTGACCAGGACTTTAACTGTGACGAGAGTTGACTTAGTTGACTTTCGAAGGACTATTAGACTAAGTGTTATATTAGTATTGGTAGCTCGGGGAGCTAGTGGAGCCGCAGTTCAGAGAGTTTTCGGGCAGCAGCCAGAGAGGTATCAACAAGTTCAGCAAGTGCATGTGAGTTTCCCTTTTGTGTGGATGGGTCTACGGCCATAATGTCGGCCCATGTAGTCATGAGTAGGAAGACCTGGGGGTTAGCCCTAGGCACAGTATGCTAGTATGATATTCAGGACGAGGTCCAATGTTAGTGGGTGGGTGCCCAAGGAATAGTGCATGATAGTTATACTTGTTGTCTGTGTGATACATATATGTGCCTGGTAGGAAGGTGAGTGTGGGCGAGGTCCTGTATCTCACCATCAGCAGAGTATAGACGGTGTTCCATATCTCATTAGTAGCAGAGTAGGGGTGAGGCCCAGGTTAGGGAAGGAGTGAGTGTGGGCCGGGCCCGTATCTCACTATCAGTAGGAGCGTAGACGGGGTTCCATGACTCATCAGTTGCAAGACATGGGCGAGGCCTTAAGAATGAGATGCTTAGATAGGGCACAAAGTCCGAATTTAGGGTTTTCCCAAACCCATACCAACTCATGGAGTCAGTCTACCGACTCGTCGAGTAGGTCACTAATCCCGCGACGAGAATCCTCTCCTATTCATTGAGTTCCCTTCTGGACTCGACGAGTAGACCTCTTGACTTGGGATTTTTCTTTCTTTTCTTGACCTTTTGAATTCGGGGTGTTACAGTTTATCTATCAATAAAATAGTAAAGAAATACCATACAAACACATTACAAACACCCACATTTGAAATTCATGTTTATTGATGAATTGGGACTGATTTAACACAATTGGAGACACCATCAAGAAGATGTTTTGATACTTTGTCATGATTCACAAAACCATAAACCAAAAATCTTGACCATCGATTGTAGAGAGCTGAATGTATTTGTCTATTTGTTTCTTGCCTGGGATTGTGATTGGGTTTACTATGGCTATCTTCTCCAATAGGATTATTACCTGTTTCGGTTATATTAAATAATCAAAATCAGATAACCAACAGTTATGGAAGAGAAGTAACTTCACCTTTCTCCTCTTTTGTACTTTTATATTACTAACCAAATAAAACCAAAGATACTAACAAGAAAAAATACATTTGAAAAATGACTTATTTCTTGTATTTATCTAAATAATAAAAAGCAAAATTCATAAAAGACTGATAACCACTGTATATATCAGTTTCGTCGCTTAAATTCGACAATATTTTCTATTTCAACCATTTTGATATGCTTAAACCTTCTATAACAAAATTTTTTATCAAAAATTTAATGGTTTAGTGTAAAATATTTTATTAAAACCACTAAACATTTACATTAATTTTAGAGTAACCTTTTTTAGCCATGTCAAAACGGTCAACTTAAAAGGATTGTAAAAGTATGATGGCTTTGGCTGACAAAATGATTAAATCATGAAAAAAGTATTGGCTTTTATTTATGTAATAAATTATAAAGTTTTTAAATATGTTTCTTGATTATCTTTACTAAAAAGAAAGAGAAAAAGATTATCTCGACTTAAATTTCAGTAAATATTTAGGCCTTCAAGACGGGGATCGGTCCTTCAATAAGTCCATAAGTATAGACACTCCATTTTGTTTCAGGATCAGAGCCGAAATCAAATATCCGGGCCGGATACCCATCTATTTCAAGCCCCACCTAAACCCAGTTTCTCTGAAGTACAAAAACCCTGCCTAATTTGGAATCCATGCTAGTACGATCAAATCACAGAAATGTCCAAGTTCACCACCATGTTTTCTTTCCTCTCCTTTGCAGTTCTCTTCTTGATCGCATCGATGGTAAATTTCAGATCCGGTGCTCCGTTCATCTTCGCACACAAGAAAGCCACACTCAGTAGGGTCAATTCCGCCGTCAAAAAACTCTCCGTTTCCATCAACATCTATAACAAAGGATCTGTGTACGCAATCACCTCCTTTTATATTCTGTTGTTTACATCTACCTCTGATTCTTTGCTCCATAGTTCCGATTCATGATATGCATCTGCATGCATGTACTTCAAGTATCTGAATTCATTTTTCTTATGTTTGGTTACTATATTTATATTGATGTGAATTGATTGTCTCGTCAGCTCTGTAACATGTAATTGCTCGTAGATTCAGTGTTTTGGTTGCATTTTGATATTGCTTAGAGCGTATTTCAATCTCAAACGTTGGTAGAGATTGGTACCTTTTGGATTTTTGTTACGATTTAAGAGTGGTTAACTTTGCAAGCTTTGTTTTCTTATTGTTCATTTGACTTGTTAACAAAAGATTGTTAATTCGATGTTATTATATATTATAGAGTTCACGACTTCCACTTAACTTCAATAGGAAAAATACTTTCCATTGATGTCCATTTACTGTTTCCTAGTTTCTATGTGTCATGAACTGTGAATACTTGACGCCTTCTATCAGTATCACTAACAGTTGGTAGCATATATTATTAGTTTTTGAAAATATAGAACATGAGAATTAGTACTGAAGAGCATTTCAATCAAAAATGAATTTTTTCATCCAACTTTTAAACCTATTATTCCTCATTTCCATTTTCAAAACTGTTATTCCTGATCATACCCCACAATTTCAGTTGTTATTTAGTATGCTCCATTTATGGTCAGTAGTGTTTATGGTCTGGATATGTTCTGTAAGACTGTAATCAATTTGCAAGAAGCCCTTTATCTCAAATTAGTTGCAAGATTAAGCATTTCAGCATATCTTTTTACGTCAAATAAAAAGAATTCCTTTACTTTGTAAAGTATATAATTCTATACATTTTCATTCCTGTAACAGCTTTTCAAGAACTACAGGTTAGATTCATGGATATCGATCCTCAAGTAGTTTTATTTTTTTTATTATTATTTATAGTCTTACAATCTTTTTTACTGTTTTAGGAGGCATATTCAACCCCACTTCTGCCACTTGAAATCCTATCAGATAAGCCACGCAAAAGTACACTTGGTATTGTAAGTTGTTTACCATAAAATAATACTTTATAAACCAACTTTTGGCTAAATGCAAAAAATAGCATTATACTTTTATTTATTTGTGTATTATAGCATCCCACTTTCATTTCTTAATAAAAAGGCATTTTTCTATAACAAATCTACCTAAATATAACTTTTTACCTTCAGTTTTTTTTCGTATTACTTCATTGTACTTTGAAAAATCTAATTGTTATAATTGCATAGATTTTTCAAAGTAAAATGATGGAATAAGAAGAAATGAAAGTAGGATGTTATAATAGACAAAAAAAAGTATGTTGCTTTTCTTTTTTCTTTCTTTTTTTTTTTTTTTTTTTTGCATTTAATCCTTCTAGATGTGTTTTTGTTTCTCACTGTTAACACATTGCTGTTATTGAGCATGGATTCTTGCTTGATGGCTGCTACTCTTTAAGGTTAAGGTACAAGTTTTTAATTTTTAAATTTATTTATTTCTTTTTATCAATGCATTTCTTTACATTACCTTTTCTTTATGTAGTTTTAGAAACTGTATGGCATCCCTTTTTCAGTATGAGGTTCTAAACAAATGTACGAAGTTGAATGCAAGAAATAGTGATTTACTTTAAATATCTACCTAATTAGAGCAATGTCATTTATACAAAACAATTTTCACTGTTATTATTTGGGTAGATCTTCCAAACCCTAATGTCCTTAATAGAAATATATCAAAAGTATAATGATACAAGTGTGTGTAGATTTTTCAAAATATTACACAAGTTCAAACTGAAGGCTTTTGTGTGTTTTTTGGTAAATGTTCAGAGCCTGATGATGAAATATGGAAACCTAGTATCCGTAATCTTCCTTGTGGTTTTATTCGTGTATCTAATGATAACCCCACCTAATAAGTCCAATGCTGTAAAGGGAATTAAGAAGAGGCGTTGATTTTTATTATTCTGTGTAATGTCATGTCATGTGACAAAATCTATGAACCCACGCCTAAAAAAATTGTTTCTGTTTTGGTGGAATTGTTTTGTAAAATCTTCTTAAAAAAAGATGATTGGTGAAGAAGATTTGAGATTCTTAATCACTCCTAGCTTCATCTATATGGTAGTTTTTTCAAGGCTTAAATGCAAAAGATAGCAATGTATTTCACCATTTTATTATGAAAAAAAGATTGGAAGTATAATGCTTCAATGGAAAAAGAGAAGTAGAATGCTACAAGATGCAAAACAAATGAAAGTGCGTTACTATTTTCTTGTAATTGTCCAAAAATCAAGGTATAAATGGAAAGTGGAATGTCTGAATAAGAATTTTTTTTGAAAGTACAATGGCATAATTGGACAGATTTTTCAAACAAGAAAAACAAAATTGAAAGTGTGATGTTATAATAGGAAAAAAGAAAAGTAGGATGTTATAATACACAAATTAATAAATGTACATTGTTATATCTTGCATTTGCTCCTTTTTCTCATAGTTTATAGTGTCTACCTCCATAAAAAAATTATATGCAGACCATTAAAAGCATTATTAGTAAAACCAATGCACGTAAACAAAACAATAGTAACAGATATCAACATAGCCATGGGCAATTAATGTGTGTTTATCCATCAAATAAAATAGTAAAGAAATACCATACAAACACCCACATTTTATATTCGTGTTTATTGATGAATTGGGACTGATTTAACACAAGTGGAGACACCAGCAAGAAGATGTTTTGATGCTTTGTCATGATTCACAAAACCCATAAACCAAAAATCTTGACTATCGATTGTAGAGAGCTGAATGTACTTGTCTATTTGTTTCTTGCTTGGGATTGTGATTGGGTTTACTGTGGCTATCTTCTCCAATGGGATTATTACCTGTTTCAGTTATATTAAATAATCAAAATCAGATAACCAACAGCTACAGAAAAGAAATAACAACTTCACCTTTTTCCTTTTTTCTATTTTTATATTACTTAACAAAAAAAACCAAAGTAAGATACTAATAAGAAAAAATACATACTTTATATTAATGTAAAAGTTTATATTAACTTAACAACTTCACCTTGTAGTGGATCCAAGCCTCCATGCCGTTGGGTTGAATGGAAGACAAGGGGCGATCGCTACAGAAGGCGACATGAATGTTAGAGAGATAAAGAGTTCCGGCGACAGGTCCGGTGGACGTCGACAAGTGACAAGCAAAAGTCCGGCTGAGTTTCTCGTGTGAGTAAGTCGTGAAGTTCTGTTTGTAAAGGGATTCAAATCCACCTTCAGTTAACGCTTTCGCTGTCAAACTCATTTTCCCCCACGCAGATCCGGTTACAGATTGCCCTGTTTTCACTGAATCAATCACAGAAAACCATGAATAAGGCACACACACATACATGCAAATTAAATGGAGGGAAGAGAAAGGGACTTACAATTGCTCCAGATGTTGGTAGCGGCGACCTCCGCCTTGTTGCCCCACGTATTAAGTTTCTTCTTGACGTTATCGATATTGTTGGGCGGAGGTTGAGGCGGAGGGGCGCCGTATTGGGCGTAGGGATTGGGAGGAGCGTGGGGGTTGTTTTGGTTGGAGGAAGGGGGTACCGGTGTTCCCATGACGTGAGTCTCCCAATAATTGGCTGCCGGATCGGAGGAGGACGATGAAGACGATGGCGGTGGTTGTTGTGGGTACATAACGACGGATCAAATGGAAGAACAAGAACAAAGAACAAATGCTGATGAAGATTCGTAAACACGATAAGATTGATTAATAGGAAAGGTATCAAATGAAGAGCATTTTGCTTAAACAAATGTTTATGGGGATGATGGCTGAAGATGCGAAATCGAGAGTTGGGAATTGCTATGGATGGGGTTGCTTCAGCGTGGTTTCTCCGCTGACAAATTCGACTCGCAACTTGGCTTTGGCTTTCTCAAATCTCAAATAAATTAATTAATCTGTTTCCGTATGTCACACTCAAACACGTTAATGTCAACGCCAATTATTTTCTATTTTTCCAAATAATATCGAAACAAAAAAAAATTACTCATCAAATGTCAAATTATGCATCATAAATCTCTTTAATATTTAGAATAACGCCAAAAATGGTCCCTATACTTGCACGTTTTTTTGTGTTTCTTTTTGGACTTTTAGGCTAGAGTAAATTACAAGAATGGTTCTTGTGGTTTGGGATGATCTGCGTTTTTTTAATTTGGAACGTCCTAACGTGTTTGGTCCCTATAACGTATAAAGAGACTATTTTGCTCTTAAAAATATTTTTTTAGTTTTATTATTATTTAAATTATTAATTAATTTATTTATTTTATTGGATCATTATTCTCATCCCACATCCCACACTGTCAGCACCTCTTTCAAAAATCAGGTAACAAATTTAATTTCAACATTTACAATCGGGCATTCGGTTCATCTCCAACAACCATGATTAATACAAATCTCAAAATCATATTAGTTGAACCTCAAAGCCAAACCAGTACAAACATTGAAATTGAAACTTCAAAAAATCAAAATATGGAAAAGGAAATAAAAAAAAAAAAAAACACTTTTTTATTTCTTTTCCTTCGTACCTCTGACGATGGGAGTTCGGTACAAGACTGACAAAGCACAATCATCAAACCATACTTCACAAGAAATGGAAAGACACGATAGATCCAAAACCCTTTACAATCTTAAACCTCAAAACCAAAATCAATATCAAAATCTGGATTCATATAATTGATGAAGCAGTAGGAAATATGGATTTATAAACCTCAAAACCAAAACCAATATCAAAATCTGGTAAAAAGACAATAGATCCAAAACCTTCACAATATTAATTTTTGAAACCCATATGGCAAAAAGATCGATGATGTAGCAAGAAATATGGAAGATGGTCTAGCAGCAGGAATGATGGAAAAGAAAAGATCTATGGATATCGACGGTTCGATGGTGGTCGACGACTAGGGCATATCGACACCCCTCCGGTTCAACTTTGGTACCCAGTTGGTGCATATTGACGAAGCATCGAAGATGTACAAGAAGGGTCCTAACAATGATTAGGGTTTGACATGCCGTAGAGAAAAGGGAGATGAAAGCTCTAAGAGAAAACGAAGTCTTTAATGGTGTGATATCAGTGTTATGGCAATGAAAATTATCCATGGAGGAGTGGCGATCGAGGGACGGAGAAGATAATAAAGGGGGTGGTAAGAAGGAGACAATGGAGTCTCAGAGAATAGAGAGAAAAGATATGGGAAAAGAGAAATGAATGGGTTGATGGTTTTTATTTTTTATTTTTTTCTTTTAAATTTAAAAATAATAAATAAATAATATAAAATCAAAAAGAAATATATTAACCGCAAAATAATCTTTTTATGTCTGATAGGGACCAAAGAGGCATCAAACTAACGTTTGGGGGACCTTCTGAGTAAAAAAAATTAAAGACCAAACGTGCAGATTACTCCAAACCACAAGGACCATTCGTGTAATTTACTTTTTAGGCTATGGTCACCATCAATCCATTAGAAAATTTATGTCATCTATATATCACTTTACATTTTTTACATGTTCACTAGCCTTTGGAAATGATTACCGCTCCACATTATTATTATTTTTTTGACATTTAAATTAAATAAAAAACATAATTAATAAACATAAATTAATATTTCACATTACTTAAAAACACATTACATAACTTAAATTTTAAACCTAAATTACTAAAAAAACATATAATATAAAATTTCAAAACTAAATTATTAAAAAAAACAAATAAAACCATAGAAATTTAAACCTAAATTACTTAAAAACATAAAAAAAAAAAATTAAACATATAAATTAAAAACCTTAAAACCTAATTTTCGTATTTTCTGCGTACTTGTTGAATTTTTAGAAAGGGTTATCTACAGAAAATTACTTAAAAACATAAAAAAAAAAAAAATAATAATAAACATATAAATTAAAAACCTTAAAATCTAAAGTTTTTTGAACAGATTTTGAAAAATCATATAATATATTATTTGTTGTTAAAATATAAAAAATAATTTTTTAGTTAACTTAGGCAAAACATCAAAATATTTAGACTTTTCTGTTAAAAAAAAGATTAGGATTTTATTGAAACTTTTGAAAAAAGTTTGGAACTTTTCTATAGATAACCCTTTTTAGAAATGTCGCTAGATTTTTCGGGTCGAGATCCGATTGGGACTTTGTATTTATAATTTGAAGATCGCTAAATGCTATTTTTCGGCGACGAACTTCCTCTGTAGCTTCATATTTTTGCTAAAAAACTTAGAGTTTTGTCTATTTTTTCCGTAAGTACGTCTTTGCTACTCGATTTTATGTTTAAAGAAGCCGCCTTTTTTCCCTTTGTCCCTTCCCGCTGGTCAATGAAGTTGTACTTCCAATGGACCCTCCCCCTTGGTGCCATCGAAGTCTTCCTTGAGGTTGACGCCAAAATTCACATCCGACTTGGAAGTTCTTGGCTTTTTGTTGGAGTCGTGGTTGAATGTGAATGTGACGTCTCCGGATTAAGGACCCATTTTGGATCCTTATGACAAACTCTCCATTTTTTTGGTGGTCGAATGTTTTACTGCCGTTGGTAACCTTGTATTGTTGGCATGTGGTTGATAAAATCTTGAAATGGTTGCTACCACTTTTATGCATATTTTTAAGATTTTCAAATATATCGCTAAACTTGGTGCAAGCCATTCGTAGTTCATGCCATTTTCCATTGACTGCATCATACGTTTGATCTGTTTACCTTCTTGATAGTGAGTGAAAGTGGTCTAAAACACGAAGCTAAAAACTGTTTCCCGTTTGTGTGTTGCCCGTCCTTGAGTTACACGATATGAAAATCCAAGCTTTTAATAAAGCTTCATGCTCATCTTCGTTCCAAGTTGTACCACTTTTTTGTAGCTTTTTCCTTTAGTTACCTTCTTCTAGATGGTTGTTGTGTTTTTTGGACCCTTTTGTCGTCGTCATCGTCAATGTTTATAGTTGGGATTGAGAAAATATGACTTGAGATGATTGTGTTTGAAATTGTTGAGGTTGAGAAGTTTGTGGTTGAAGATGTTGAAGTTGCAAAGGTTGGGGTTTAAATTGTTGAAAAGCTTGGAATTTGAGTTGATTGAATTGTTTTGGTATTTGTTGTTAGTAGTAGTTTAGGTGATATAGAATGTTGGTAAACAAAAGTTATTATTGGATTGTGGATGATAACATTTGCATGCAGTTAAGATGTGAATATAGATCATTTGGAGTGTTTGGAGTAGGTAAGTTATTTTGATTTGGATCCATACTTTCAAGAAGAGATGAGAAAATATAAATAGATTTGAGTGTTTTTGAGGTGTGAAATGGTTAAAAAAAATTGTTGGTATTTATAATGCAAGTGTTTCTTTTAAATTTGAAAAGTAATTTTTATATATACACAAAATGATAAAATGCATTCAACAATGTATTTTTGAATGTTTGAGGTTATAGGATTCAATTAGCAGTGACAATTTGTGATTGTAGTCAATTTGCATCACACCTAGTGATGGAGTCAGTGTCAAAGTAAAAGGGTATCCCCGTAAATAATAATAATAATAATAATAATAATAATAATAATAATAATAATAATAATAATAAAGTCATGTCATATACAATAAGAAAAAAATAAAAATAAAACCGGAATTTCATTAGACATAAAGTTCAACTTCCATAACAAAGTTACGTTTTAAAGTTCACCTCTTCACTTTTTCATTTTACGAAATCGATTAATTGCAAAGAGTGATAATCTATATTTGTAACATCCATTTCGATTCCGATAATTAATTCTTTTAATTGTTATAAAAGATAATAATAATAATAATAAAAGTAATACTCATAGTCATAATAGAATTAAATCATTATTCTTTGAGAAAACCTTTTATATATATATATATATATATATATATATATATATATATATATATATATATATATATATATATATATATATATATATATATATATATATATATATATATATATATCAAGGGGGCAAATCGCAATTTCCAAAAACTACTTTAATTAAATAAATTGGCTTAATGGTAGATTCCATTTATATCCTTAAACTCGAGTGGTCAATTGTGTCAAAAACGTAATATCTTTATCTATTTGATAACAGCCATCGCAGCTGCGTATTCACGATTTTTTTTTGCTCAATTTAAACATATAAGTGCTCAAATCTTTGAAAACCTCTTAACCATTACTCATAATAACATTCACTTGGACCATTTGAATCGCTTCTCCCTCCCTCTTAGCTACCAAACCCGAGAGAAAAAACTGAAAAACAATTAAGGACGGCTTGGGTTTTAGTGGGGAAGAAGACACTTCAAGCTCAACATAAATGAAATATACCACTGAAATTTTTTTAGGGGTATCTTGGGTTACCCCAGGCTCCAATGTGGATCCGCCTATGATCACCCCTACGCCACTATGGGGGCGGTGTTCACTCGTGATCATCCCTGCCACATCGACCATTACAGTTCAAAATATGTGTCGTACCCTATGGCCTTAACCTTTTTGTTTAACCTATCCATCAAATTTTTTTTTTTTTTTTGGGGGGGGGGGGGGGTGTTAAATCTTCTTTTTGAATGAAATAATCAGTTTAACAAACTTAACATCCAATGATGGAGTAAGATAGGGCCATGGGTACCAAAACCGTCATAAAATATGTCAATATTGACATTTTGTAGACAACTAGAAAAAAAAAGTCCTGCAAGTTGATCCTTATTTGTAGTTTAGTGCATAAGATTAATATTGTTTTGAGGTAAGTAACAATGAAAAATATCAATTTTAGTTCTATTTTTTTTAATGGAATGTCTTTTCTAACAAGGATGTTTGGGCCGGTTTAAGTGCACCACAACTAATTTTGAATAGTATGTGGTATTACCTTCTAAGTAAATTTTGTATCTACAAGGTAAAATCCAATATACTTAACGCTCAAAAGTTTGGACAAAGTGATTCAACAAAATAAGCATCCAAACATAAATTGGTTTAACAATGGTTACAAAGCTAAAAATATTTTCATATTTATTATATGAGTTTGTTCCATTTACTTTTTCTTATATCGGTTGACGTATGAATCAAATGATGATGAATTTAATCCCAAACTATAAATTTGTACTTGATAAAAGAACGATAACTTTTTTTGCTAAATCAGATCGAGCTAATGTGTCATGTATATAATAAAAGAGGTTTTAAGCATGATAATTTCTTAATCATATAGTAGGCGAATATAAGCATTTTTCACATCTTTTTTATGCAGATGATGCAATTTTTATTGGAGAGTAGAACACATTGAATTTTAGGAACACTACTAATATTCTTAGATGTTTTCTTTGGTGTCTGGTCATAAAATAAATTTTCAGAAGAGCAAATTGTTGGGTTATCGTACGCCAGACTTTATGAGATGTGCTCCCTTGAAAACTCTGTTTACTTACATTGGAGTTATTGTTGGTGCGAACATGGCGAGACTTAATAACTGGAAGGGTGTGACTCAGAAGATGGTGGATAAATTATCTCGTTGGAAAGTTAAGACTCTTTTTATTAGTGGGGGATTAATTATTCTAAAATCGCTTTTGGGCTCTATCTTGACATTTTTTTATTAGAAAGTGCCAATGGGTGTTCTTAGAAAGATGGAGAAAAAATGTTTTGGGTTAGTTGGAATAAGGTATATATCACGAAGGAGCATGGTGGTCTAGGGGTGAGTAGTTTCTTTGCTGTTAATCAGTCGCTTCTCTTTAAGTTGTTTTGGAGATTTCGTCATGCTGAAAATGGTTTATGGTCTCGGGTTACTAGAGCCATCTATAGGCTTCATGGTTTTCTAGATCGTAATCCTCCTATTCAGAGATTGACTTGGTTTGATATTGTTTGAAGTTTCATGCTTCTTAGAAGAAAAAGGGTGAATCTGATCCAGTATTGTCAAAGGAAACTTGGTGATGGGGCACAAACACGTTATTGGGAAGATTTTTGGATAGATGATAGGGTGCTTAAACTATCTTTTTTCAATGTTGTTCGCTCTTGAAAATGATCCTAATATTTCAATCTAAATCAAATGGCAATGTGATCATTTTTATCATTCTTTTCGTAGAATGCCTAATGGAGGTGTTGAGGCTGAGCAGTGGGAGGATCTACGTAATTTGTTGTCTTCCGTGTCTCTTTTTTCATTTCCTGATAGGTGGATTTGGATGCTTGATCCTTCAGGTCTTTTTACTATGGCGTCAGCTAGACTTTTTATTGATAAGGCGACATTAGGTTCTTCTAATTTTAGGTCTTTTTACATAATAGTGTCGAGTCTTTC